CCCATCCCGCCCCTGGTATGCATGTGCCCACTCCCAGGTCCCTATGTGTAAATGTTATGTGGTTATGAATAAATGTCTATGGTGGTTGAATCTTAGACAAATATCTTAAGTTTCAATTTGGTTTAAATAATTCACTTCAGTATTTCATTGAAAACCTAGTTCTTTGTCACTTAAAATTAATCCTACAAAAGGACTGAGAACGGCACAGCCTGAACGTGTTTTTCTATGTATGTGCAGTGTTTACCAGACGACTGCAATTTCCTAGACTAAATTTCAAAATCCACCTGGCACTAACCACTAAACTCAAGGCCACATCCGTTAGTAACCTCTCCTGTAGTATACTAACTCCGGACAAACCTCTCAACAGACAGTCACCATTTTCATTCCATACGAAGTGGAGCTGGGTATTCCTCCTCAGGAAAACCAGCATTTGGTGATAAGTTCTAAGCTCAGGTGTCAATGAGCAGATCTTTACCCAAGTTCACGATACCACTAATCGTGACCAAACAACCAGTTCTGAGACTCCAAAGAGTTTTGTTGGAAAACTTTGGTGAGACGTCTTTTATATTGAAAGAAGACCCGATGAGCTTTGACTCTCCGTTCAAACTGGCAGACATCCTAGATAACCTGCAATGACTGTCCTTCACCATCAGGCCTGTTTTTTTTCACTGGTGCAACACGTGCACTGAAACACGAACATGCAAGGAATGTTGTGTTCAGCAATGAGTCCATATTTTGCCTACGGCAGTTAGATTATAGAGTGAAAGTGTGGAGAAGTCAGAGATTGCTATGCTGATTGCTGCACTGATAAAGAAACAYATTTTGGTGGAGCCAGTGTGATGATGTTGTGCAGCATGTCCCTCACTGGAAAAACAAGGCTTGTCATTACTGGAGGCAATCTCAGTTTAGCGAGTGATTGAGATCAATTTGTGCGACGACAATGCTCACCCACAGAGCATGATTTATCAGAGACTACCTCCAGAATTTGGGAATGGAGAGGATGAAGTGGCCTGCCAGCAGTCCTGCCCTCATCTCTATTGAACACTTGTAGAATCAGGCTGTTGTGGGTGTGTAGTGTTCTCCCTGGTGTTACAGAGGTTTTACAACTCAACCAAGATGGCACATCAGTTTGTACCATTGCCAGAAGGCCTGCTGTGTCTTTCAGCACAGTTTCAAGAGCATGAAGGAGATTCCAAGAGATAGGTAGTTTTTCTATGAGAGCTGGACAGGGTCGGAGGAGATTCTTAACCCATCAGGAGGACTAGTATCTGCTCCTTAGTGMAAGGAGGAACAGGATTAGCACTGCCAGAGCCATATAAAGTTACCTCCAGCGAGTAACTGGTGTGAATTTCTCTGCCCAAACCATAAGAGATAGACTTCATTAGGGCAGCCTGGGGACCCAGCGTCCTGTAGTGGGCCCAGTGCACATTGCTGGGCACTGTGGAGCTTGACTTGTATTTGCCAGTGATYGCCAGAATTGGAAGGTCTAGGACTGGCACCCTGTTCTTTTCACGAATAACAGTTTCACTCTGAGCTCATGTGACACACAAGACAACATCTGTAGAAGCTGCAGTGAACGTTATGCTGTCTGACTCTGCAGCATTTTTCAGCATGATCCGTTTAGTGGTGGGTCAGTGTTGGTCCGGGGTGGAGGGACACATTGACCTTTACATTTATCAGACATTTACTYGTACATTAAATGATAGGATCCACTCGAACTGCCATTAGGTACAGAGGTGAAATCCACCTGCTTTAGATGTTATCATCCATCAAATGGACATTCTTAGCCATTATCAGTTCCATGGAATGGCTTCAGACTGTCCTGACTGTGCCGCCTAGTGGGTTCCCCTATCCCAAAGAATGGCTTCAGATTGTCAGCTGGTAAAGCCAGTAAGATTTTTTATGCAATCTGGTTAATATGAGGCATAAAGCCACTAAAGGTTAATTTTAGAGAAAATGACACGGGCTACAATAAAATAGACCAGACTCCAGCGGTAGCAGATTGTTGCATTCCAGTGTATATGGCACTGRCAACCCACTAGGGCGCACACTCTGGACAGTCTGAAGCCATTCTATGGGACTAAGAATGGYTAATAACGTCCATTTAATGGATGATAACATCTGAACCAGCTGTGAAATCCTTAGACCTATTGATATACTCTTYGCTGGTGTAGTGGGTCCTTGGTTCCTCTTGGCACATGATAATGTCTGGCTTGAGATTTCAGATTGTTTAAATTAAAATAATAAATTTATTTTCAACATGTGCTGCACATTTGTTAATTAAAAGAAGTCTATATCCATGTGTTTTCTATTCCAGGAGAACACTACATTATAGACCTAAAGTACATAACACTGTCTTGGAATAAATATTTTAATAACAAACATAACTGTAACWGTATATTGTGGGGTTAACAGTTTATCATAAATGAAATATACACTGTATCAGATTGGCAGCTGTAATTTAGAGCTGTGACAAACACTGGCTAGTATCGTATTGATGTTCTGCTATTATGCGTTGCTGAACAGGTGATCTTGAATGATTGCATTACCTCAGCTTAGTACAGGCAAAGTACTGAAGAAACTACTATTATTTCTTGTGATTTTGTCWGTAAATTTCTATATGTGCTATAATTTATAGCAAAACTTTCAGTMTCTGGTGTCAGTCTTCCTTTTCTTGTGCTCTGCACAGCATGGTCTAATCCATRACAATGTGGCACCTCTACACGTCTCAAACCATGTGACATCCAATATAAATCAATGGAGTATATCACCCAAACACCATTGGAAATCCATGCCACACCTTCACTGTGAAAAAAAATCTCTGGAGTCATCACTGGCCCCAGTAAACAACTTTAACAACAAAAATTGCTGAAGCCAAAGCTTCCGACCAAACCAAAACACTTTTCGTACAGTAAAGGAGAAAACTATTAGTGTGGCAGAACTTAGCTGTCATTTAATTTGACATTACCAAAATAGACATCTAAACGGCTGTTAGTTGCTTTGGGAATGAGTGAAAAATTATTCCTTATTATTCTTTTTTTAATAAGTTTTGAACTGATGTTTTCACTGAGCTTTCTCAAAGAATGAATCCATAGATGTATGGGAGGAAATGAAAAACCTTTAATGAACAAATACCATCGCTGTACTGTTTAATGTCTGGAGGATGGGAATAAAAAGCAGTAAAAAAAATCTCTGACATTTCACAGGCCTGTAGACTTAGTTCTAGAAGCTGCTTGGCATTTAAAGCAACAACCTTTGAACATCTTCACTTTCTCCAATCGCACAAGTTATCACAGTTCTGTACAGTGGTGTCCCATTTCTGTTCCTTTTTTATTCTCTGCTGTTTGTGTAACCAGTGAAGACCACCATGCTCAGTTTTACAAAAAGGCCTGAAACATGGTCACTGGCAGGATGAGGTCAGGAGAGGGTCTCTGAGCTTGGATGTCTCATTTATAAGAAGAAGACTTCTTTCCACCGATCATATACAGAGGAGGACGTCTGCTCATACATGTTGATGGGTCACAAAAGCCTGGCTGTCCTGAGGGACCCCTTGGACCAGCAGGTCCTGGGACGCCAGAACTTCCTGTCTCACCACGCTCTCCATTTTTACCATCCTTCCCGATACCAGGGGGACCAGGCACACCTGGGGTAGACAGAAGACATGTATGCTATTATTTAAGCAAATGTGAAATTGTATTTTTATATGAATTTTCTGATATTAATAACATTAAAAAGAATTCAAGACTTCATTCAAAGACCAGAGATCAAGACTTTCGTATGTTGAAACTATTCTCAACATATGAAATTTACAATGTTTGATCAAAATCGCAATAATTCTGTCTGTACAGTATTATTTAATCAAATAGGGTAAATTACTTATGAGATATTTCATGAAACACTAACTTTTCAAATGCTTTGTTTACKCAATGCTTTTTCTAAAAGAAACCGTGTTTTAGCTGCTTGCCTACATGACAAAACCAACAAAAGCAAAAACGTGCAAAATTGCACATGCACACTGCAAATGGCTGCAATCAATAGTTCTTCTGGGTTTCCAAGATTAGACAAACAACAGTAACACTGTCACTTTTTTCAATTTATCAAACCTTAAGATAAACTGGATGAGCTATTAAAACCAGACCCTTGTCCTTCACTTTGCTTCGTACAAGGGTCTGGACTCTCAGCTATAGAGAATCGATTCTTGCTGGAGGTGAGTCCCCTGTAGAAGTTTAAAATGATTGGATCGGTTGGCCGTGACGTATGTCGCTGTGAAGGAGGCTAAGCTAAGAAGCTAACCGGAAATCGCGTGTGTTGTAAACAACCCTACTGAGAGGAGAGAAGTACCGAGACGACTGTAAATGAGAGCTGCTGCTTTGTCAGAGAAATTTAATTTAATTTGGAAGCATTATCAAMACGGACTGGATTTATTCACTTCCTCCACTGCTATTGCTAACTAACTAGCAGACACTGTGCAGAAAATTGACGTTCGGTTCTCTGATTGGTTCGGCCAAAAATCTGCCAACGAAATCCTTGTCAATGGAAGAAATGCCAGACGGAGCAGTGAAGGGAAACTAGAATTGCGCAGAGCTGCATAGGAAGGCAAAGGCCAGGTTAGATGAGCACTGATGTGCTGCATCATCTCTTGGGTCAGCAGAGAAGCATTTCTCACATTCTACAAATGCTGAATGGGCCTATAATTGATTTTATGCTGAAGACTAAAGTGTCTGAATGTGTAATGTTTTCACAATCAACATCCCTCCCCCTAAAAATCCAAATAAAAAGCCAAAATTTTGGTTGGTTTTCAAAAGTCAGAGCTGCCTGAAAAAGCCTAACTAATGTGTGGCTTTTATCCAAACATTGTCGCTACTGTCATAGAGGCTCTGGTGTCAATCAAAAGTAACACAGTTGAAAAATAGGTTAGGCCAGTCATTCCCAACCTACACTTAAGATAAAACATTGCTTTTCTTTTGTGGAGTGCTTTTAAGTTCTTTCTGTTGTAGGGGTCACCTCGAGTGAAGAAACAAGATTTTCTGCCTCGAAGCAGGCCTCGGACAGGCCTGACGAGAGGACAGGAACTCTGTTACAAACTGAATATTTAGGCCATGACAGGTCATTCTAACCRTGGAAGAGAACCCCTCAGTTCTCTTAATCAGTTAATGGACAGAACAATCTCTTCTGTTCATGATTCATTTGTTGTTTAACTAAGAATGTTTATGCATTTGTTAAATCATGATAATGACTGTCACAGGAAAAGTGGAACCACTTCTTTTCTCTTATCGTGCCTTAAAGATTTATAATGGTATAAAAAAATCACAGAGAATCTGATTACAATGTTTTCATACTGTTTTTATTTTGCTGTGAACACAGTAATATAATTGTGGATTTTTCTTGAGAAAATCTTTCATTTATCTGGACTAACAGAATGGTTCAGAGCTGATTATAAAACAGAAATGTTACAGTTAATCATCATAAATGTTTTGCAGTGATTTCTGTTAGAGTCTATCAGAAGGAAGCTAAAGAGGTTATCATGATGTTTGTTGTACGACCACAAAATTTAACCTTGACTGGCACCTGACAAATCTTTATCTTTCTTTCTCTGACTCATCTCTAAGCCTGAGGGCTGAACCAAAGTTTGTCCGTTCTTATTACTAACCTGGACGGCTTTGAACAACACACTCTGACTTCCTAATTCAAACAAGGAAGATGGCTGTTGATTCTCTTCGGAGAATCTCAGTTCTGGGCTGTTGATCTAATCCCATGAGCCATTTAGGGTGGATTTCACAGCCAGGGATCCGACAAGCCTGATGATATTCCACCCGAGGCTTCAAGCCTCCAAGCATTTGTTTTACCTTCCTATGGGAAGATGATTTTATTTTGAAGGAGAAACCGGATACAGCTTGAATTTTTCTGGCTTGGACTGAAACAGACGCAAAGTTACCGGAGAAATAACACCTGTTTGCCAATGACCRGTAAGCGAGCCGACAACAGTTCCCTGACTGATCGGAGGTGAGCCAGCTTCTCTACTCAGAAGGTGCCTTAAGAAGTCATCATCAGGTAAAAGGCTGATGTGTTTGGGTGACGTGTCCGGTGGAAACTGAGTCAAGAAAAGATGTGCAGATCCGGTTGACTCACATTTTGTTAAAAGTAAAATAGTAGAAATACTAAAATTACTTTCCTCTGTGTGACATTTTACTGTTCTATTATAAGTAATTTGAGTTGATGTGGATTGAAATTGGGACGTGGGTTTTTATCTCATTAATTCTGATTCTTGTTATAGGAAACTGACTACCCACAATTAAGTGTAACTTATGATTTGTTTAATTTGTGTAAATAAATGATCACATAGACATTATTAACCAAGTTGAACTCGTCTGAGCGTTCCACTTATTGTGTCATTTTTCACTTAGCACAGTCAAGATATTAACAAATAGTGAGAAAACCTTGGTAAGATATTTTCCTCATAACCTTGTGTATGAGAGATGTGGGGAAAGCTTAATTCATCCTAAACTCACTCCTACACTGTTAAAGGACACCCCCACCCCATTTACCTGGCACACCTGGTGCACCGGGACTTCCTTTGATTCCCACACCGTCTTCTCCCTTGTCTCCTTTGTTTCCCTTTTCCCCAGATTCACCTGCAGAGAACAGAAGACATGAACATTGACATTAGGAAGTAATGAAAAAGTTGTTTTAACAACTATAGGATTATAATTAGCTGACCCAATGACAGCCTCCTTGAGTGACTTATTGATTAGATAATGTAAGGAAGAGTAATTTCCTTCCATCCACAGAATGATCTGCTTAATATCTTTCACTGATTACTATGGCCGTGTAAAGATAAAGTTTGATTGGGTTTTCTTTAATAGTTTCATTTATTTTTTTCTTACTTGATCTGTTGTGAAGAAACCAGTGGTTTTGAAGTTTTGCACTGACCTTTCTGGCCTTGTACACCTGGAAGTCCAAAGAATCCTGGGTGGCCTTTAGGGCCCATTAGCCCTGGAGCACCTTTTTCTCCGGCTGCTCCGGCAGGTCCAGGAGGTCCAGGTGGTCCCACTGGTCCAGGGGTACCTGGAGCACTAATGGATGCTGGCCTCTTCAACATCTCTTTCATAAACTCTTCTAATTGCTCTTTGGTGACAAAGAATAAAACGATCAGAGGAAATAATTTTATCCAAGTGCAGCTTCTAACTACATTGTTTGATTAGGGATGCACCAATACCATTTATTGTCAAGCCAAGTACAACTTATAGTTACCAATACAAAGTCCCAAGTACTGAGTCTAATAAAATATCGTTATGCTTTCCACGATAACTTGAAACAGTTTTTAAAAAATCAAGGGAACTTACTTATTTGATCAATCCTCTGAGCTAGGACATCAATAGTCTAAATATGCCTGTTAGTAAGTGAGCAGTGACAGACTGAAGCTCGTCTCAGTGCTCTTAGCAAACCCTTTGCAGTCCATGTTGCATCTTCACTAGGAATGCGCGATATGAACGATATATGGTAGAAACAATATAAATTTGTCCTATGATAATGGATGCAGATATCTATTACATTAAAGTTATTGTGTGTGTGTGATACACACACACACACACAC